TCAGGCACTTTCCATCATTCTTTGAGTCGTCTTCTTGCTAGCATTAGAGTTAGTAAGTGGATTTAAGGGATAAGATGATTAAGGCTATTCTTAATAGCATCATTTAGAAGTAAGGACTGTCCTTCATCCATATATCGGACGTCAATGGGGTACTTGTTAATTGAGTTCTGCGTGAATAAGGGAGTAAGATTTATAGCATCTCAAAGTATATATAGGGAATAGGAGGAAGCACAGAGTTTGCATGCCGGTGGGAAATACAGGGGATGGAAAGAATTGGACATTCAGTTGGGCCAAATTTCAGACTGATGAAGTAAGCTGAGATTGGATGATAGCGCAGAAAGGGGAGCAGACAGAGATAAAGGTAACGGGACAGAGAGAGAGCCAAAGGTGCCATCCAACTCTCGGCAGAGAATGAAGAAGTTTCCCCAATTTGGAGGGAGTGCAGATTCCATTTCTCAAAGAGCTAGAATCTGACCTCAAAATATGATGTGGATTAATAATAGGAGGATAATGATGGAGGAAGCAATAAAGGAGGATCAGATTTTATTAGAGAAATATTCTCTTATTATTACAGTTGACCACAATGATTATACGAAAGTTAGGTGGATAACAAGGGGTTTGAAATTTCAAAATATTTCCTTCAAGAATGTTTTTCTCAATAGGCTGCCAAATTACAAAAATAACACAGGCTCAAGTCTCTTTAACAGGTCACTATTCGGCCCAAATTCTCGAGGCAGAACAGATCCCAAAAACAGAGCCATCCATCGGGTAGTCAAGAACTACAAAAAAGGCTTTGTAACAGTCCATAATGAGAGAGCTGGAACAGGCAATCCATCAGGGTTCGTGGCTCATAGGTGGAACAAGGTCAAGAACAAGGCAGGTAAAGATGACATTGCTGAACGATTTACAAAGAAAGGATTTTCGCAAGTGGAATTGACAAGGACAGACATCTGAAATTGATCATTATGTGGCCTGCATCATTAGTAGGAGGTAAAGAAACAGAAGGAATATATTATAGAGACCAAACAGAGTTGGAGAAGGAAAGGGAGAGGTCTGCAGTAGTCGTCTGGCACTAGAGAGAGTAGTGAAATTGGAAACAAATATGCCACTAGGCCAAGAAGGGAAGGCGCGTGATAAATTGGAGCTCAGGGATTAGGAGACAACAAGGCGCAAGAGGAGGATGAGGAGGTAGACTCAATTACTACAGTGTCTTTGCTTGATTTTCTGGAGGTGAAGAGGCTAAAAATTAATTCACGTTTGGGTATCACATATCTGAAAATGTGGAGAAGGCTGAAAGGAAAAAGAGGGAGAAGGAATTTAAAAGGAGTACAAAATATGTTCAAGGATCATATGGAGGGAGAAGAGCAAGCAAAGGCTACAAATGAGCAGCAATTACTTACCGACTATGTGACAAGATGTGGAAAGTTACAAGAGAAAAATCTTGAGCATTTCCACAAGTACATTGGTTGCCCACCAAGTTCTCTTGATAAAAACCCTAACCTATCTAATTACTTTTTTTAAAAAAAATAAAATTATAAAATTATTATTAAAAATTGGCAACAAAAAGGTGTCAACACATTTACAAAGAATTTACGAATCTACCAATATGCCAATAAGGTTAATAAAATCCTCCATTGAGTAAAAAAAATGACTCAAGAATAAAAAAAAATCAAGAGTCTGAAACCATTTATTTTTAATAATGTCAAAATTGATATCTTCATATAACCCCTAAAAAGCTCTTCTATTTCTCTCATTCATGACCGTCTAAAAGATGGTTGGCGGAATGAGATCCACATGTTTCCTTCGTCCGCTAATACCCTTCCACACCCAGATTTCATCTCTAATAGAACATCGTTATCATTCAATTGATACCCAGAAACTATAGTCTAATTACTACCAATCTAATTACCATGACCAAGATTTTGTTTACTCAATGACAGGCAACATGAGAGGTACGAAGCATTCTAGTGATAGAATCCTACCAATTTCACACGAATACAAAAAATTTAGCACTTTTCGGGTCACAAATAACCAAGTGTTGTGAGAAAATGTCATAGTTTTGAAGTTGATTTTG